AAACCAAATCAAATAAAAACCATTGAACATTTTTAATCAGTATTATATTCCAAAAAATAAAATAAAACTAAAAACTTTTTTTTTTTACGGTCTATTTCCCAAGACCATTTAGACATTACATCAGGCAGTCCATTTCATGTCATAACATTTAAAAATATGATATTTGTAAACAAATCATAAATCTGATATCAGATAATAAATTCAACCGTTTCTTAAAAATGAATATATTTTAAAGTATGTCTACAAAACCAAAAAAAAAATAAACTTCGTCTTTTTATCTATCCAACAATCATCATAAGATTGTTTGTTTTATCCGATAATTGGAAAAAAATAATAAAGATTAAAAACAGAAATTATCTTTTCTTTGTAATTTTGAAGTAATAAAAATTATATATTTTATTCTGCTTTTCACAACCACGCTATTTGGTAGATAAATACAGAGATCTTTTGTGCATATACATGTCACAGGGACATAAAACGACCCACAGATTTGGTATACCAGTTTTATGTTGTAGTTTTGTTGAAATTATAACTTGGAGTACAATTTGATGTTTTAAGAAATTCTGGATATTAAGAAGAATGTATTGTCGATAATTTTACTATGTGTTGTTGGAACATTTTTTATATAAAATTTATTGTGATTTTAATATAAAATATATTTTATACATTCATAGTGTTTTGTTTTGGGGTTCATTTTGGCCATTTCATCTATTTATTCCACATATATATATATATACCTATAACAATATATATAAATATGATTATATATATATATATATAATATATATCAGGGCCTATATAAGCTTATGTATATATATATATATATAAATATATATATATAATGGTATATTTTCAGGAAAAAATAAAATTTTGCCGAGTTCAATGTCTAAGAAATTTTCATAGACTTCACTTTTGCTAAATCCTTGTAAAAAAAAAATAACAACGTTAAACATAAATGTCTTTAATAAATAAATTGTCTCCCTTGTCCATTTCTTGGCAAATAGTATATAAGAAGAAAAAAAACAGTGTTCAAAATCAATATGAATGTTTTGTGTGTGTGTCTATCTATTGTTAATCAAATTATTTTTTAGATAGTGTATATCTGTCGACACTATTTGGAAAACATAGCTCAAAACGTGACGTAGATGATGTAACGTAAAAGGACACTTTAAATTTATTCAAATATACTTTTTTTATTCTTTCTTATTATTTGCTAAGATAAAGTCCCTATGCGGTTGAAACCCATATTGTTTTTATATTCATTCTTATTTTCTTGTTTGAGGAAATTTCAATATATATTTATTATATATATATATTATATAATATATATATATAAATCTACTAAAAAAATTTAATTAATCGAGCAATAAAGGAGAAAGCTTGATACCATTTTATCGTTCCCATAGTATTGAACCCTCTAGGTCCCTGTAAATATTAAAATAAAAAATAAATAAAATTAATTTCACCTTTTTGGGTATAAATTTTCGATACCTAATGTTTAAAATTAAATTTTAAAAATGCCAAATCAGTCTTGAAGATTTCATTTCCCGCTTTAATTGAAAGTTTAATAATTAAATTTATTATTTCCAAATAAGATAAAATATTCTGGAAACAGTAGAAATTGGATATAATATTGAAATATAAATATATATATTTATATTTATATAATATATATATATATATATTTATATAATTTTAAGAAATTTCGAAACAAGTTTTTCTATTTTAAAATGAAAAATTTTATAATTTAAAACCATTCTTTAAGTTTTTTTAATTTTAATTTTAAATTTGAAAATAATGTGTTGTATTATAACATAAAAATTAAAAAAAACAATTATTAACGATTGATCCTGTTCATCATTTTCCAACGTTTGATCGATTTTTCTGATAAAAAGTATGATTCTACTATGGATAAAATTGTCAAAAAAAAATAAGGCATATTTTTCTTTTAACTCACCTTGAGTAATTTTACAAAATGATTTGATATTTTTAATTATTTAATAACAGATTGATTTTATTTAAAAACAAACAATGGCAAAATTAAAACTATTTAAAATACTATAAAATTTTCTTCAATCCCTTTTACAATTTATGATAACAAATTTTATTCAAATACCATGATTACTCAATTGAAGTATGTCCCATGTTAAAACTTGAATTTAAAAAAAAAATATTTAGCAAATGGAATTTTTTTTTTAAAATTTTTTTAAGCTTTAATCTTTTTAATGTTGAAAAATAAATTTTGTAAAACAATTTAAAATGAACTGAATTTAAATTTACTAAAGTCAAAACTTCTTATTTTCTGATTATGGCAATTTCAGGTCTTCCATATTTTTTAAACAAATAATTACGTATTAAGTTAAAAAAAGGAAAATAAAAAAAAAAAAAGATTAAAAATAGAAAAGTAACTAAGTTTATTAATCTTTTTCAATTTTGATTCGTAAATATAGTTTTCACTTAATTAAAATATCATCAAACCGGATTGAAGTAATACAGAATTTTAAACGATTTAAAATTTTATAAATTATTATAATTAAAATTTAAAAAAATGAAAAATTCTTGTAAAAATTTTATATTTATCAGAAGAAATTTTTTTCTTCAGAATAATAGTGTCCTTAATATTATTTATTTATAAAAAGCAAAGCAAACCTTTTCTAATTAAATAATGTTATTGTTTTATTGCATTTTTTATTTTACGATTCAGAAAAGATTTTCGGTAACTAGGTGTCCTGTTTTAGAAAACGAATCTAATGGCGTGAATTCTCCAAGGAGTCATGTTTTTAACTAATAAAACAAATTTTGAGATTTAAATTAATTTCTCGAAATTTCATGAAATTAATTGGGAAGTAACATATGCAAAAAAAAAAGATCACAAAGATTATCTAAAAAATAATAATTCTCAAATTAAATTCATTCAAAAATAAATTCCTGAAAATAATTTCATTAAAATCCGACAATTATTTGATTTCTGCAAGAATTTCCAAATCAATCACTTTTTCACCTGATAAAAATGCGCTAAAACATTAATCGTAAATATTACATCGACCGCTAACATAAAAAAAAATGTTTTTAACCAAAATTTCGAAACGTGCAAGAAAGGATTTAAAAAATTTAATAAAATAAGAAAAATAATGTCATCTTTTCTCTTCATAATAACATAAAGATTATGATGATAAAACTTTGCTTTTATTAAGTTTGGAGCTTTTTATCATGATGCTATGCTTTTTTTTCAGCGAAAACGTCAATATATATATATATATATATATATATATATATA